CAATATTAAAATATCTCCACTAATTAATTCCCTTTTTAAAAAAATATATTTTATTGATTTTTTACAGAGAGAAAGGGAGAGGGATAGAGAGTTAGAAACATCGATGAGAGAGAAACATTGATCAGCTGCCTCCTGCACACTCCCCACTGGGGATGTGCCCACAACCAAGGTACATGCCCTTGACCGGAATCAAACCTGGGACCCTTGAGTCCACAGGCTGATGCTCTATCCACTGAGCCAACCTGGTTAGGGCAATTAATTCCCTTTTAATGTGCACGAATTTCATGCACCAGGCTACTAGTATCCTATATAATAAAGAGCTAATATGCTAATTAGACCAAACAGCAGAACAACCATCCAGACATCCTTCCGGATGACCGTCTGGGATACCTTCTGGATGAAGCTGGGGCTGTGAGGGCTGGCCAAGGCTGTGAGGGCCTGTGAGGGCCAGCTGAGGCTGCAAGGGGCTGCGAGAGCTGGCCAAGGCTGTGAGAGCAGAGCCCCTTGCAAGAATTTCATGCATCAGGCCTCTAGTTCTATTATAATGGGCATGACAGGACTATTTTACTTTAGTGCAAGGGAATCTGAGGGTTGAAACTATAATTAAATCAAATAAATTACAATTGTGCATTATTTAATTACTAAGTCTATCTTATGAACATTGCAAGCCAAATCTCTAGTCACAACCATGTTCTCCTCTCTACTTTGTTCTATAAATAACTCCTTTGTGAATCCACTTTTATCCTACACCTCCAACATTTCACTTCTTTGTATTAAAAATTATCCTTCAAAATATCTATACTATATGACTTTAAGTATGGAATGAACATTAGAGATTGTCTAGTTCATCCCTTGAAATATAAAATGGGGTGAGAAAATTAGACCCAGAGAGGTAATAATCACAAAGAAAGTGGCAAAAGTCAAGTGGGTCTAAATTTAATAATCAGACATATGCTCTTTTTATAATCAATGCATTAGTTTTTTTTCCTTTCTCGATGCTATTAAATTGGACAAACTTCAATAATTACTATAGAAAAACTAACTATGTAGTCTAGCCTGCAGTAAGATTTTCAGGAGTGTGGTAGTGATTCAAAAATTCTGGTATTTTTGTATATTATTATTACTAATGGCCTGGTGCATGAAATTCATGAACATTAAAAGATAATTAATTAGAGGAAATATTTTAATATTGCTATTTGCCCTTTCTCTATAATAGAAGTGTCAGAGATGAAAGAAAATTAGGAAAATGTATATGAAAATCTCCCTCCTGTCAGAGTCTGGGGCGTGCCGCGGGACCCAGAGTCAAGTCCCTGCCCACCCGCGTGCACCTTGAAATTGCGCAAGACCCAGACCCGGCCAGCCCCACCCCAATTGGGCGAGATCCAGACCTGGCCAGCCCCACCCCCGTCAAGCCCCGCCAGGTAGAGGGAGCACCCTCAGGTCCCCCAGCTTGGCGTTGGGGTGGGGTGCATGGCCTGAGGTCCCCCATCAAGACCCGCTGGGCATGGTCTGAGGTCCCCCGTAAAGCCCTGCCAGACAGGGGGTGCAGCCTCAGGTCCCCCGCCCCGGCCTGGCACCACGCAGCCTCAGGTCCCTGCTGATCACTCGTTATGGCTCATTTTGGTAACCCTGCCTCTGCTGTGGGCACAGCCATCTTGTGACGGTGTGACAGAGTGAGGGTCAATTTGCATATTACCTCTTTATTATATAGTACTAGTGGCCCGGGGCACAAAATTTGTGCACATTGAAAGGGGATTAATTAGAGGAAATATTTTAATATTGCTATTTGCCTTTTCTCTATAATAGAAGTGTCAAGAGATGAAAGAAAATTAGTAAAATGTATATGAAAATCTTCCTCCTGTCAGAGTCTGGGGCATACTATGGTACCCAGAGTGAAGTCCCCACCCACCCACGGCACCTCAAAATTGCGCGAGACCCAGACCCAGCTGGTCCCACCCCCATTGGGTGAGATTCAGACCCAGCAGGCCCCACCCTTGTCAAGCCCCACTGGGCAGGGGGGTGTAGCCTCAGGTCCCCTGGCCCAGTGCTGGATGTGGGGGCACAGCCTCAGGGCCCCCATCAAGCCCCGCAGGGAGGGGGTGTGCAGCCTCAGGTCCCTGCTGATTGCTCATTAAAGCTCGTTAGGGGAACTCGGCCTCCACTATGGGCGCAGCCATCTTGTGTTACGGAACCCAACCCCCACCCCCACCCCACGCCTCCGCTGTGGGAATTTGCATAATCCCTCTTTATTAGATAGGATTATTTAAATTCTTAATATAAAATTGAGACCAAATGTGAATGGCCAACCTGTAATCATTTAGAACAGATTTTCTTTATCTCATAGTATAGTGTTCCAAGATTAGACCTCAAAAATTCTGAATTATTAATGGCTAGAAACAAGCATAAAAATGTTATTCTAAAATTTCCATACACTTGCCTCCTCTAGTTCTGGGATTGAGGTAGGAACTTGGTGAACACAAATATATATTTCTTTGGGGGAGTATTCATTATTTGCACATGTCATGATTGTTTAGAAAATAATACCTTTCTTTTTTTAAAATATGTGTTTATTGATTTCAGAGAGGAATGGAGAGAGTGAAAGAGATAGAAACATCAATGATGAGAGAGAATCTTTGTTCGGCTGCTTCCTGCACACCCCCTACTGGGGATCGAGCCCACAATCTGACATTTGCCCTGATGGAATTGAACCTGGGACCCTTCAGTCCATAGGCCAATGCTCTATCCACTGAACAAACCGGTTAAGGATAGCTTCCTTTCTTTTTCTTCCTTTTCTAGAGCTTCCATTTCCCACCAGTTCTTGCACCTGCTTGCATTTCCTGAATGCCAGTGTGGCTGTGAGTGCCAGAGGCAGCAGATGGGAAGGTAAACTTTCATGCCTGCACTCTTAGATTAGCCAGTAGGATTTCTTGTTCCTTCCCATAACATTCCACTCAGTTGATCACTAAATAATCAGATACAATGTCAAAGGCATTTAGTACTCGTTCAATTCAAGATTCTGAATCAGTAATTACCCAAGACTCAACTGAATACATGGGTTTGAACTTACTCGCTAATTTCACCACCTGTGATGCAATGCCCAGGAAATGTTGAAGGCAAATGGGTTGTCAAGGCTTTCGCCCCCACCCTATGTCAATTGAGGTTATCAACATCTCCAAATCAATGAACACTTCAATCTTTTTTCATGCCTAAACATTGTTGAGCGAGTCTTTGGACAAGATGAGAAACTGGAGAGCTGGGCAAGTCACCCTCCTGAATGCCTGTAAAGTTAGCAAGAGGGGGTCTGCAGATACCCTGATGCTGAAGGCTTGGTTCAGAGAACACTAGCCAATGGAACTTTAAAACGTAAGAGATGTTAATTAGGTCCACCTGAGAGTGATACAGACTGGAGTTACTCAGTGAACTTTACATTTTAAACTCAGCCTGCCAAAAACTGAATACTCTCCCCAAATCTAATGAACATAAAGATTGGTGAGGGGGTGGGGGTGAAGAAGAAATATGGCTACTCCTGCAGAAAGTTTTGCTTCACCCGCTCATACACAGTCTGATTTCAGGGACTTCCCAATACCCAAGGAGTGCAAAAAAGCTGGTATGGATGAAAAATGTTGTTACAACAATAGCTGAAATCCTCAATAGCTTCCTCGGAGTCAGCTGCTGGAGTATTTGGCTACAGGTTATCAGACAGCTGTTGAGGCAAGGGATGCCAATATCCCACTAAGAGGGAACTTGCTCAGCCTGTTCTCACTGGCATGGTCCACCACACCCGCAGTGGAGCTGTAATAAGGAAGGTAATCTAGGTCCCATGTCTGTAGGAAGGGGGAGAAGGGGCACAAACATCCTTTTCTGGACAACTTTGGAAGATGTCCAGGCCAGGCTTTGAGCTTAGATTTCTCCCAGGATTATCTGGGGTCTCTGATTGGGGGGCGGGGAGGAAGTGGGCTTTTTTAGAGGGTCATAAAAGACCACTGTATTTAAATTGTTCCATGGAAAACATGTGTCCTGGCTCTTCTAGGCCCAGGTACTTCAGGAGCCACAGGACTTGGTGAAGATATGGCCAAGTCCAAGAACCACACCATATACAACCAGTCCCCAAAATGGCACAGAACAGCATCAAGAAACCCTGATCACAAAGATATGACTTTCTTAAGGGGGTTTTCCCTAAGTTCCTAAGGAACATGTGCTTTGCCAAGAATCACAACAAGAAGAACCTGGAGAAGATGCAGGCCAAAAATGCCAAGGCCATGAGCGCATATGCCAAGGCTATCAAGACCCTCAGAAAGCCCAAGGAGTTCAAGCCCAAGACCCCAAAGGATGGCTATCACAAGCTCAGTCAACTTGCCTACATCACTCATCCCAAGCTTGGGAAACATGCTCATGCCCACATTGCCAAGGGTCTCAGGCTCTGCTGGCCAAAGTCCAAGGCCAAGATTCAAACCAGGCCTCAGGCTGCAGCTACAGCTCAGGCTCAAGCTCTGGCTCCCAAAGTTGCCCATGCACCCATGAAAGCTGCACAGTGGAGGCCTCTGTCTGCCAATGTGAGGGCCAAAGGATTGGTGGGACCCCTAGGCTGCTGCTATTTTTACAAACAAATCTGAGGCAGGTTCTGTCAAAAAACATAAAACAAAACATCCTAAAGAGTAATCTTACTGAAGTCAGAATTAAGTGACTGTTAGGTCAGAATTTTTTGAAATGAGAGGGTGGGTAGTCAGTGGTTGGAATCAGTGAGGTGTAGCCAGAATTTGAAAGTAAGCAGGGAGTCTCACTGTAAATTGGAACCAAGTGTAGCCCGTTTAAATGCTAGGTCCTCATTCTTGGAAGCATAAACACTTGAGGGCCTTCCATGTGTTTTTTTTTTCTTCCTGTTCCCATACTGTGCTTAGCTGCTTACAGAGAATCCAAGGCACATTCTGGGACATCTTACCTTTTTTTCTAGGGATTGAATCCCCCAGAACCCTCAAATTGAGCTCCAAGAGCTCTGATTTCAGGGACTTCCCAATACCCAAGGAGTGCAAAGAAATGGAGAATGAAACTTTAAGCCAAGAGTAATATTTTCTCTCATTATGATTGAAATGTGGAATATGTTCAGGGTGAGAACACAAATAGAACCAAATGACTTTGTCCATCTGAACAGGTCCCTAAATATCTCATTGTATGAAGTGAAGAACCCTATGTAATCTTTTTTGTGTTCCCTATCATGGCAGTGAGTAAGAAAGCAGTTCTGAGAACCCAAGCCTGTGACTCCCTATTCACAAAAACTTCAGACATGAAGGCCAACTCCATGCAAGGAGTATAAGGTCTTATAAAATATAAACCCTAACAATCTCTGAAATCTTACCCCTTATCACATCTGTAGTTCCCCAAACAGTGGCTGGCACATGGTGAGTACTCAGTACAAAGGTATGAAAGATAAAGTCTTCCAGCTGGATAATACCTTATCTTTGAAGGACCATCATCCAAGGCTATAAAGCCTTTTCTCACATCCCTCTCTTTCCCAGATATAAGTTACTATTATTTACTTCTATAATAGCAGCCATGAGACTTATACAAGAACTATAACATTCCATTCTGAATTCCCAGAACCTAGCATAGTCCCAGGTATTCAGGGCATACACAATCAATATTGAATGCACAAGTTAATGAATGAATAACCAAGAAGCTCAAGTACATGGATATGTAGTGCCTTAATAAGAGCATTTTGTAGAACCAAGACAAGACAAAAATTAAATATAAAAATTTTATCCCTTGCTATCTTCAAAAATCCTCCCACAAATTCTGTTACATGAATCCTTTTTTGCTTGGTCTTGCATTGAGTATCTATAGCTATATATAAAGTGAACGCCTGGTGAGTGGGTGGATGGTGGTGTTCACTCATGTAGTGAAATGTGAATATGTCAGAATCAGAGAAAATAGCAAGAAAGATGTTTATGCAAAGCTATCAGTTCTCATGGCTGTTTTTTAAATCTGAGATGGTGCCAAGATGGTTCAAACTTAATATTCACATCCATTTTATCACGTCAAATATGATCATTAGTGTTTGAACGGTGGTTATTTCCTGGCTGATAATAGCCATCGGGGTACTCACATTCCCATATGCCCGGGACTGATACAATTCAGATAGTCTGGAAAACAGTGGGAGGAAGGAAGCAATTAAAAATGAAGGGGAAGCTGGGGGCAGGGAATAGGCACCAATTTTATTCCATCCAAGAATATCCCTATACCTATTCTTCTGAAAGTTATGGGTGGGGACAGAAATGCTATTTTTAAAATAATTTTATATCCTCCAGTTGGCATGCTGTCTTGCCCATAGAATAAGTGTCAGGAAGCCCTAAGGGTGGGCATTAGTATTTAAAATAAGCTCAGGCTGTAGACCGGAAAAAAACAGGAAGAAATTAGTTCTAGGATACTGTGGTTGTGGAGAAAGCTGAAAAAGTGGACAGTGATAAAAGTATAAATTCAGTGTCCCAAGCAATATTTTATAAACCATTACTTACTAACCCCACCAGCACCCTAAGCAACACTTCACTGCCACCAGCAATATCTTTACTATGTAGGATGGGGGTGAGGAGTAATTGGGTGGGAGAGAGGCCTGCCATTAGCATTCTGAGCACTGCAGTGGCTTCTTGGGCAAGAGCATCATCACCCAGAAAAGCAGAGGGAAATAATGTGTTTGTCAATAATTTGCGAACACTGAGGATCCAAAGTAAAGAGGCTTTGACTGCATTCTTAATTTTAGGACTAGTTTGTTGCAAAACCTGACAGATGGTTTACTACATTCCTGTCCTGATCTTTCTGATCATTCAGCTAGATTAGATTGCCCAACCTTCCCCCATCTCCAGTTCGGTGGGGGTGGGGGTGGCGAGTTCTAGCCAAAGGAATGGTCAGAATTGATTGAGGCCATTTTCTAAAACCAGCTCATAATCCACTGTTTCTTTTCTCATTTGTAGCCTGAATGGAGAAGAATCTGAGCCTCTGAAAGGGGGAGGGCCCCCAAACTAGATAGGGTCTGGGTCCTTATATGATTTACTCATAAGGTGGCCTACCAAACTCAACCCTTCCCTCCCCACCAGTCATTCCATGAAGCCACTGGGGTTTGGAAGTTTATTCCTTACAGTAGAGATACAGCTGCTGCCTCCAAACTTTTCATAATCATGACTCAAACAGTCTCACATACTATGTCCTCCCATGTTCTCTGTCACTCTCAGGAGCACCCTCTTGACATGTCCCCTCCCATTTGGGGCATGCAAGCAAACTGTTCATTCAGAAGTCAAAAACTTACTTGTGGCTAGAATAGTAATGACATTTAAACAGCCAAGAAATGGACAGAGCAATTTTGGGAATAAATGCATAAAGAATTGAGGGGACATGATAAGCAATGCCTTTAGCCAGGGCATTCTTTCCTCATTGATGCACACATGTAATTTCTCTTAAAGTTCCAGGTCCACATGCATGTAGCCTTCCCCAGAGTTTCTGGAATATCTTGGACTTAACTAGTAGACTAGTGGGGCAATTCAAGCAGCTTTGGGCTCTCAATTTAAAGCTGGGTAGTTGATGTGAGGCTTCTAAACAAATAAATAGTCAAATAATGGCTCTCTGTGTATCTGGAGTGTAGTCATGGGAAACTGGAATTTGGATAGACACTGGGGGACACATAAAACTGAGATGCTGGTGAGCAAAGTATTTCCTCAAGGTCCTGTTGCATATTTGAATCTTATTCTAGCTGCACAGACTTCTTATTTATCCAAGTGATACATTAGGACGCAGTGCTCCAGGCTAGGGCAAGCATAACCTCTCCTGAATGATGACTCCCCCTCATGCATTCTGCCCTCTACTTACTCACAGTCTGACTTTCTGTTGCCTCTACCCAAACTTAGAAAGGAAGTTCTTTCTTCAGCAAAGATGATCCCCTGGCTCACTGCATTTCCTTAATTTTCTACTGCCCCTGTGACACTTAGGCCACATAATAAATATAAAAAGAAAAGTTCATTTAAGAGCAGAACTACTTATAATTACAGAGTGAAGAAATAGATGTATATGCCCAAGCAGTTGCAGGAACCAGAATGCTGAGCTTCAGCAACCCACCGAGTTGCCTGCCATTTGACTGGGACAGAGGAAAAGGGGTTCTGTCTACTCATCATTGCCTGGGGCAGCCAGTGAACAGTTGGGGACAGAAGAACAAATTGTTGGTGCTTCTTCCCTGTCTGATAGCCAGCGAGATTCTTTTGAGTGTCCTGAATGACCCAGTCAACAGAGCACCATGGTCAGGGTCAGCAATTGCTAAGCCATGACTATGACCTATACCTATTCCCTTTATTGATGTATTTTCTTGAACTTGCTTTTGGATTAAAAACTTCCCTTCCCCCATACACACACTTCTAGACTATTGCTTTTTTTAGCAAGTTTCCTGTCAGCTACTTTTCTCTCCATCTCGAAGGTACCCTAGATAATGGTGCTCCCCAATGGAGGAAAGATCCCCAAGTTTCAATTTGGGAAAAAAAATTCCCAAGAAAATGATTCATCATCAGTTACATTATTGTTCACAAATACATTCACTTCCTTGTAGGACTCCCACCTATTGATGTTAAGATCAGCTGTGTGATATGGTTGAGGTAAAGAAATGTGAGCAAACATGATGTAGGCTACCACCTATCAGAAGCTTTAGGAGGCACCGTGAGACTCTTCCGGTTCTTTAGCTTCTGTTTTCTGACATGAAGGTAGTACATCACATACTGACAATTATTCCTTAGCCTAGGTCCAGGGATAAGAAACATGGAGCAGAGGCAAATGAAATCAAGCAGAGACACAGCATCTGCAGCCACTAATATAAAATGTAGCCTGTTGTAAGTGACTAAAATTTTGGGAATTTTGTGGATGCAGCAAAGCTGACTAATATACTCTCTGATCTGGAACATGAGGAATGAATTTTGTGAATGAAAGATATAATTTATTGGGTTAAACCCCTATAAGGGGGGTTTGTTGTTTATTGTAACTGTTCAATAATTACCTTCACATAACAATCCCCTCACCCTTTTAACAGCCTAGCACACTCATTAGCCCCTGAAATGGAAGAATTATGATGAGGTAGAGGGGGAAAAGCCTAAATACTCAAGCTGGGTAAGATTAAAAGCGACTGGCTTGAAATTTCTCCAAAAAACTGGTGCAGTGGTAAACATCCACCACCCCCATCTACTGTAAGTCATTACATTACAGGTAGAGTGTGGTACTTTAGTGTTTATCTTTGTAATAGCAATAGAAATCAACTTGGCTTTTCTTTTTTATCTTTACCTTATTTTACTCACAGATTTGCTAGGTACTGTTTCTTAGCAACAAGATTTTGGAAGGAACGTGATTCTTTTAAGCTGGCACTGCAACCTGAGCATGCTCTTTCCGATGACCTCTATATTTCCTAAGAGGCTTCTTAGATTCTGTATTTCTCACTCAAACCCTTTTTCTTCTCTCTCCATGACTCAAGCATATGCCAACCTTTCTGCCTGCTTTTCTCTAGCCTCTGCTTTTAATTAGACCTAGGATTTCTTATTCTAGCTGTGTTAATTTTATTTTTTGGTATCTGCTTTGGTCAGCTTACTCCATTTTATCT